CAGCTAAAAGCTCTGGACGTTTAATGCGCTCTCGGTCATCGTTTATAGTGAAACACTCCCGAGTTCGTTCAAATAGAAACTGCCCTCTGGCAACAGTTTTGATGCAATATTATTTGTCACCGGAATTCCCTACGTAGCTTTTTAACTAGCTTTTAAAAAAGTATAAAGTTCAGAATATTCAGGAATAGTTTCGGTATATGTATTTTATAAATAAATATATAATACCGTAATTAAAAATTAACCAGTATTATTGAATTTTAATTCCACCTTTGAATCCTCAAGAAGAATTAGATACTGTCTTAATAAGGAAATGTAATAAAAATTAAGTGTTCCAGAAGTATTTTTTATTTTCCATAAACATCGTTATTATTATTTTTAAAACCCAACTCTACATAATTAATTAATATAGATTTTATTCAAACATTCAAAAAATCATATCTCAAGAACCCGTGCAACAAACTTTTACCCATAATTTCGTCTCTACTTTCTTAGCTGATATCTTCCTTATCATTAGAGATAGCGAAAAACTAAATGAAAGCTTGATTCGTTTCGTCTGCCGATAAGTTGATACTAAGATCAATAAAAAATGAAAAGCACTGTACTACTTAAAATAGCTCAAAATTACCAAAACTTGTGTGCAATTGCTTGTGCAACTTAAATGGCGCAGTCAGTAGGATGCGGTAAACGCGTGTGATCTTGTGTTGTGTCTCAAATCGATCCAATAAACGGACATTCGCGGTGAACTTTCAAGTTCTTTATTACTGAATTCTAAGAAAAACGAATCGACCAGCCGAGGAAGAAGCTCCAATTGCCTAATCCCTGGACTACGTAGGACCTGCCGAGGAGTTGCAATCATCCAAAAATTGGCAATCAACTCCCAAGACTACAGAAGCAAGACAGAACAAATGAATATCATTCCTTTCTGCAATCCTTATTCAGTTCCCCAACTCCTTGACCATCGTGGAGAATTTAAACGATTTATTAGAAGCTTTAAACGACGTCGATATGGCACGTGAAATCTCAAAGGTCGACCAAGATCTGATCCCAGTATTCGATGGGGATCGCATAACTTTGAAGAATTACATCAACGCATGTGAATTCTTAATAGAAGAATACCTACCGAGAGTTCCACGAAACCCGAATGAAGTAAGAATGGTAAAGCGATTACTTATGATTTTTATGGGAAGATTACGTGCAAAAGCATGCGAGACAGTGGACGCGAATAAAATGCCCACGTCTTGGCTCGAATTAAAAAACATACTCGTACATTCGTTTGGAGATAAAAGATCTGAAGAAGTCCACTAGGACCGTACTAGGATCGTATACTAATACGATTTAAATAGTTTAAGGCCCCAGAGAGAAGATACAACATCGAGTTACGCAAATAAAATAAAATCTACATTATACACGCTTTTATCTAAAATTAATTTAGAAAAAGAGGAAGTAGAAATTAGAAACATAAAGTATAATCAAATTGCGTTAAGGACATATCTGTTTGGGTTGGATCTAATTAACACTAGAAATGTTCACTGATTACAATAAATTTTACCGCAATTTTTTTCATCGAGCGGTTACGAAGATATCGATCTCTAAGTGAGGGGCCTTGACTGTTTACACGGATAGTAATTAATAGGAGGGCATGGTCCATAGAATCAAAGGCCTTACTAAAATCAAGTAACACTAGCTAGGTAACACAACGCTTATCACAAACAGATCTAATATCATTGGTGATCTTAATCAGTGCTGTGGTAGTACTATGCCCTTCACGAAAACCAGACTGGAACTTGTTAATCAGATTAAACTCCTCAAAATATTTCTGAATCTGCAAATAATCTAAACGTTCAACAGCTTTTGACAACGTAGGTCGAATAGAAATGGGTCGAAAGTCACCAACATCGGACGGAGATTTAATTTTTAGGATAGGAATAACATGGGCGATTCGCCAGATAGACGGAAATACAGACTATTCAACAAAACAGTGTAAATATGTGTTTAAATATGTGTTAGGGGAGTAATAACTACATCTAGAATAGGTAAGAGGAATCTGAGTCCAATACCATCTGCTCCGACACTAGTGGACTTGGAGTAAGTTAAAGCATCTCGGACCTCAGCATCTGCATCCAAGCGAATGAAAAGGAAAGCACATTGGTACATGCATGGATTTTATTAATAGTATTCTGTCTAGTTATGTTACCAACCACCACAGGAGGATCCGCAAAATACTCCGCTAGAGCAGCAGCATCAAGAGTGGGTAGATCTGTGGGAGGCTCTATAACACCAAGAGGTCGCATTGTTTTCCAAAATGTCGTATGAGTGGCTCCAGACAACCTCTGACAGTAGTGTAATCTTTTAGCGTTTTTGCATCGATGATTACAACGCTTGAGCAGCACACGATAATGTTCCCGATTGGCAGCAGAAGGGCTACGTTTGAACAATAACTTAGAACGATTGCTCATTTACTCAAGGTGCCGGCATGTGCTAACTCTCCGCCGCCTCTCCGGAACGTGCTTGTCATGGATTCCTGGATTCCATGCTCGTGCTGGAATTAAAGTACTTCACCTTATCATCTATGTCAGGCAATCGGTAAAGTGGCTGCCAATCAATTTCGCTCGCATCACACATCAATAACCTGCAATCTATACCTTGAAGATCACGGCAGATCACAGAGCGCCGAGAAGTAGCTTGATGTCGTAACTGCAACGCAGAGTAAATCAAGTCATGTTTCGAAAATTGAAGTGCAGGCAACTGACCCTGCGTAAAAATATTGTTCGGACGAGACGTGATAATAAGATCAAGGAGAGTATGAGAGGATGACGAGCGGTGAGTCGGCAGAGAGGGTAAGCTCGATAGATTTGGCGACAAAGTTTTAAATTGTAGTTTTTCACAACGTGCATCATTTTTCAATAAGCAGGTGTGAAATCACTCATTAAAAGGATTGTATCAAAATGAAGAGAGTGAATTTAGTAGTTTTTGGCCAAAAACGTACTTGTGCAAGTGCGTGATCGCCGCGTGTGTGACACCATTAGAAAGAGCAGGATATTTTCGATAAGATAAATATACTTCTATAGTTTTTCCCCTATCAAATGAGAAAGTTGTTTAGAAGAAGAGCAATTAAGCGTTCCTGCGTGTAAGAATGTGTATTAAGGATATTAAGGACAACACGGATTAAGATAGTTGGAAAAGCGCTCTTTCTAATAGTAATACCAGTTTTTTAAAATTCGGTTTGATAACAATTCCACAACGGCTTGAAGTTTGGTAATTTTGAGCGATTTTAAGTACAGAGCGGTGTTCTTAATTTTTTATTGATCTTAGTATCATCTTATCGACAGACGGTTTTAGATAGAGAAAGAATCAAGCTTTCAAATGGTGCATTTAGTTTTTCGCTGTCTCCAATAATAAGGAAGATATCAGCTAAGAAAGTAGATAGGAAATGGGGTCGTTACCCTCAGTCGGATAGAAAGACCGTCTTTCAAAAAGTCGATAAACTATGTAAAAATAAAAGGATTGCTAACATTTTCAGATCCTAAAATTGTTTAATTTTTGCAATAATTAATGTTAAAATTCAAAATCCCCTCTATAAAAGCTTTGGTGACGTTTAAGAAACGTTCGCGTAAGATCAAGAAGACACAAACGTGCATTATTCGGGTCTCTTGTTCTAGCGCATAAGATTCTCGTGGCATCTCGCTCATGCACCGTTTATTGATTTTTATTTCAACCAATCAAGTGCGAAACTACGATGACGTGTCCAAAGTTTATTCAAATTTTCATTATTTTTTAACATTTTCAACATTTTAAAGCAAATTGAATAAAGATTGAGTGGGGTATAAATAATTTCTATTTCTCCATAAACATCGTTGTTATGGTTTTTAACGCAATTCTACAAAATTAATTACTGTAGATTTTAAGAACAGGAATTTAAAAATTATATAATATTTTAAGAACAAAATTAAGATATGATGATGAAATAAAAAGCATTTTAAAGCAAACTTTAAGATTAATGATATCTTGTAACCCATTTTACCGGTTATAACTCCGTTGTAATATATGATCCACAAGATTATCTTCAAAAAGGTCATTTTTCCCGTCTCTAAACTTCCCATCTGGCAATGTATTATAAATCATCTGCTAAACACATGACGCGTCGTAGAAAATGGTATCGCAACTGCATCTTAATGGCTTTGTCACTGGACCGTTCGGGGTTACTGACTTTGGAAATCGATCAAATCCACGAGACGAACAGAGTCACTCTTTGTAAATGGCAAGCAAACTCCGTACGAAAATACGTGCTTGTGCTCCTGTTTGTTTTCGTTGTGTGCAATTTTATATAAATGAATCGCCTTATTTTTCAAATACGTATCAACTTCGTTATCCAAAGCACATCTTTATATCGGACATTCATCCGTTGTAATATCTGTTTTATTATCGTGTCGTAAACTTTTCTCGTACTTACTACCTTGATAACGTAATCCTTCATCCGGATCATAAAGGACGTCAAAACTTTAAAACTACGAAATTACTTCTGGTTTAATAGATGCATAAATTATAACCTCAAATCTTAATTTTATCCATATCTTGATATTATAACGGCAAGAATTTGGTATAAGCGATAAAATTATTAATTATTAACAAGAAAATTTTCAGATAATTAATGTTAAACTTATTAAACTTGTGGAATAATAAACCATCTGATTCTCGAGGGTTCTCTCAGTTTTATTTCGGGTTATAAACGTACCGTAAATCGCGATATGAAGCCTTATACGTCAACATGACATATATATTTATTTATATCTTGGATGGTTGTATATTTCATATTCATGCGACATCGTAATATCAAGTCATAAAACGTATACGCGCATAATGTTAAGTATTTACAGGATATCCCATCCATATCCTGTCAACATTACTGTTATTTACATACTCAAAACGATTTTAGATTTTTATATTGACTTAATTAATAAGCTTCTCGTCCTTATTATAATAAACGTTCTTATTGTTTACAGACAGCAACTTTGTGCTGGGAAACGCCCAAGTTCCAAGTAATCCAATTGTCTACTGTTCGGATGGATTCTGCGAGCTCACCGGTTACACAAGGGCACAAATCATGCAGAAGGGCTGCGCGTGCAAGTTTCTGCACGGCTCAGAAACGAAGGACGAACATAAAGCCCAAATCGACAAAGCTTTAGAATCAAAAAACGAACTCAAATTAGAAGTTATATTCTATAAGAAAAACGGTAAGTAAAAATGTATCTCCAAATCTATCTTGGATATTTTTATTGGAATCCGTTTCAATTAAAAAGTGTCCAAGTTTATCCTTCTCGATCGGTATCCGTCAAAAAGGGATATAGACGAAGATTTGTCCAGATTTTCTCCGCGGTAGCTTTAAAATTGGAAACGCCTGTTGCCGTCCGGGATAAAAAGAGGGATTTAAAGTCTTATTTCTTGATATAAATTGGTAAAATGCACTAGGGAGATATCCTTTTTTCGTATGACGGCCGTTATCTGCTCACGACGTTTCCGTATCATTCTCTGTTCTGTTTGGGACATCGGAAATAATCTCGAGGTTTAAGGACACAATTGCGAAATTGCCAGTGAAATACTAAGGTATTCTTTTGATTTTCTTGTCTAAAAATCTTTTGTACTTTGCGGAAGTACGAAACGAAGAAAATCCAGTTATTTTTGTATGGAAATCTTTCTTTTTAACGTTTTCTTTTTTCTTGATTCCACAATTTAAACTCAAATTTAATTTTTTTGTGTGACATTCTTAAAGAGGAAAGTTTTAAGTTTAATTTGGTATAAAAGTCATTTAATCATTTTCAAAAATAAGACTTCAACGATTTTCCGGATTTTATCTTTTAATTTGTTCATTCAGATAAAACATCACAATTTCATTCATTCCCTATTTTATTAATATACAGGGTGATTCAAAAAACAAAAGTGCTTTTTATAGCAGATACTCTTTAATTTTAAAGAAACTTTGATCCGCTATATCTCGCTAACGAGGCATTTGTGACCCCATGATATTAAGACTATTCATCTTAATTTTTCATTTATTATCTACTCTAGAAGTCTGTCAGCGGTTTTTTGAATCACCCTGTGTATTATATAGAATAAGAAATAATACAAAAGAGGAAAACATAATTAAATACATAAAGGATAAGGAAGGTTACAATAACGAGCAAATCGTTGTCAAAGAACTTCCTGGTGAGCCAAACTAACTAAAAAGATTTGTTCTAGGCGCTCCTTTCAATAGGAAAGATGAACTATACAAGCCAGATTTCTGGCCTGCCAATGTAGGTATTTGTAGATTCGATTTCAAGCGACATTCTATTTTTATGAATGAGCAAAGCTCGAATTTTTTATAAATCAAAACTTAAATGTTAGAATACTAAATGTAAATGTACAAGGTCTCACAACAAAAATCAATCGTTTACAATACAGTTTGCAAAAGCCTGCTGATCATGATGTTCTGCTGACAGAAGTTCAGTTCAAAAGGCATAAAGGCAAAAAATACCAAGCACATATATGAACTGTCATCAGCACTAATAAAACAATTAGAACAAATCATAAGCAAACACCTATGTTTTGTTATAAACAAATGTCTACTAGAAGGAGTTTTTCCAAAGGAGCTAAAGTCGGCAAAGATAACACCAGTACATAAAAGGGGAGATAAAAGTGTGTGTAGTAATTACAGACCAATATCTATATTGCCTACCTTATCAAAAATATTCGAAATAGTGGTAAACGAAAAATTGGTAGACTACTTCAACAATAACAAATTGTTTACAAATTGTCAACATGGTTATCAAAAACAAAAATCTGTTATAACTGCTCTATTAAGTGTACTGGGAGCGGTAATCCATGGGTTCAATCAAGAACAATTCACCCAAATTTCCTTTTGTGACTTAAGTAAAGCCTTCGATTCAGTGGACCATTCGATACTGACAGCCAAATTAGAAAAATATGGAATAAAGAACACTGCACTGGGGTTTTTGGTATCATATCTAGAGACTAGAAAACAATCGGTCTTTTGTAGGGGCAAACAATCCACCTGGAGAGAAGTGAGAAGTGGAGTGCCTAAGCGTTCGATCTTGGGTCCATTACTTTTCCTTATATGTATCAATGACTTACCAGGTAGTGTTCCAGCAGAATGAACTTATGCAGAGTCTTTATGCAGATGACACATCTATTATTGCGAGAAGTGGTGACATCACGGAGCTGGGAGAAAAAACAAAACAAAATATAGAAAAAGCTGAGCATTGGTTCTACATAAATAAATTAAAAATAAGTAAAGAAAAAACAAACATACTTACCTTTCACACAAGACGATGCGATGGAGTGACAGATAAATCCATAAAATTCCTTGGAGTTACTATTTCAGAAACTCTTAAATGGTTCAAACACATATCAAACCTGAAAGGGCGACTGTCTAGTGCTCTGTATTGCCTTAAAACAATACGTTCAAACCTTCCACCCGAGGAATGAATGGATGGAGGCCAGTTTCGTTATACAAAAAAAGGCTGTTCGGACTAAAAAATCAAGAGAGTTGTAGAACCCAATTTAAAAAATTAAAAATACTTACCTTGCCGTACTGTTTTATACGCTCCTGTCTGGAGTATACTCACACTAATAAAGATTTGATGCTGAAAAACGCAGACAATCACGAACACAACACAAAGAAAATATTGTGACTTCATATCACTGAGTGGTCAAATCACAAAACACATGCGATTATATAGCCATCAAATTATATAACGCACTACCATGGGAAACAAGAAGCATGGAAGTAAAACAGTTTCGAATCACTGTCAAGAATTTTCTCTTGGAGAATGAATACTATACTGTGCAAGAATATTTTGAATGGATGACCGAGAGATGAATCATCGCAAATTGTTATATTTTTATTATTTGTAATTTGCATTTCCTTTATGTTATTAATTTTTCTCTTTTCTTTTGACGTCAATACCATGGTACTTTGTTTAAATAAAGTTATAATTATTATTGATAAATTATGATATATTACTGATTTTATCGAAAACTAATCAGATTTCTTTTATAACAATTCTTTCAACCAATACAACATTTTTTAAATTTAATCATCATCAATGGCCTGACAACCTTGTGTAGGTCCTGGCCTGTTCCAACATGCTCTGCCATTCAGATCTGTTACAAGACATCCTTCTCCAATTAGCGATGCCAAGGGTTTTGGTGTCGTTCTCCACCTAGTCTAGGTACACTTATTAAGTCCTTCACGTCTAGTACTCTCGTCCTCCTTATCATCTAACAATCTACTTCTATAGTGTTCCAACCAAGATTATATTATCTTGTCTTGTTCCAACAAAATATTTCCGCGTTCATCTCTTTACACATTGATGTTTTTGTTTAATTTCTCTTCGACAACTATTTATATTCCGGTAGAATTTTCTGCTTTCTGAGTGGCTTTTGAGATCAACATCTAGTGTTCTGCAATCAGTATCTAAGCTTTATAAACAGTTTATAGTTTTTTAAGCAATATCTAGTCTTTTACCAGCAATATTCAGTATTCTGCAAGGAGCTTTCCAGTCTTCTGCCACCAATATCTAGTGTTTTGCAGTCAATATCTTAGTTTTTTAAACAGTATTCAAGCTCTATCTATTCTTTCTTCAATACGATCACTTTTCTAATTTCCGAAGTCACTTATGCTACTCTTCTGTTTTCCTGATTCTTGGTTGTTGCATTTTCGAATAGGAATCATTTTTCCATTCTGTTTGCACACTCTTCGTCAAAACATTCTGTTCCGGCTTTCTTTGGTTCCCCTTTTCCTAAGGACACTTCTGCTGCTTCTAGTACATATTCAGTTCGAAGTATATGCACCATCGTTGGGCGCATAGGATGCAGTTGTTGAAAAAATTTCCTCTTAGCCTTAATGTGCAGAGTTCTTTATTATACGCAAGAAAATCTGTAATTAGGTGCCTAATCTTTTTATTCACAATGAAACCTGTCCCCAATGCATGTTTCGTTGAGTCACAACTATAAAGTACAGTATGGTTTCTTTCCTCGAGTATACCTGATCATGTGGATAAGACACTTAGGCGCTATAAAGGAACATCACGTTCCATGTCGCAATTTTCAAATCGTTTTCTTTTTTGACCTGACCCTACTTTCCATACGACTTGGCTACTGGCGGTGAGAGGCGGAGTTTGACATTTTATAATGCCCAATATATATTTATCATGGCATTTTATTTTTGGATAGAAAATTCGAGATTTCTACTCAAGTCAATTCCAGTTTTGCATGTTGATAAAGCTATGATTTGAGAAGATGTCATGAAAGGAAGAGTGAGACGAAGAATTCGGTTTTGAAAGGACAGGCAACTTTGGAACCATCCATTATCGTAAACGTAAACCTAATATGCGAAGAGAATACTGTCGTGAAAATAGAGAAGTTACAGGTCGAAGTCGTCTGAGTTATAGTTGTAAATATGATGGTAGTAATTGAAGAGCGAAATGATAATAAAAGCTTCTTATTAAGGACTTTGTTGAATGATGAAGTTGCAACATTCATAACATCTTATCATTTAAAAAATAGTTGCGATGACATGCTTTAACACCCATAGAGTAGGGCGTTCAACATAAATAGTTTGTACTGAAGTCTTCCGTTTCACACGACTTCGGACAATATTTCATGTTCGAATCAACGAATACTGCAACGGACCTTTTGCTTTGGTAACCTTCAACATAGAAATTTGAAATCAAACACTGCTTAGTTAGAGTCCAAATTGGTATGACACAATCTTCTTTGGAACTACATTCAATTTTTAATTTTTGGAATAAAAGTTGAAACAATATTTATAGATATCATCAAATTTAGCTATTTTCACTTTTTAACTAATACTTTAAATTACCAAGATTGATCGGCAGATTAAAATTTACGGCGATTAACCTATTAATATTCATTTATAATCCTCAAACAGGAATAAAACAATTAAAAGGCGTACACGTAGCTGGCGAAAAATCGGAAACCAGATTCGGGAGTGAATACGCAAAATGGGATAAACCAGATATACGCCTAACTTGATCATCGGGTTGGCGGTTGTCCAACTGTCGGGTAATTCCCAGGCAGTTAGTGGCGGCGATTTTATTCGTGGTTGCGTATATTTTAATAAAAATCTTTTGAGCATACAAAAAATAATTTTTTATAAAAAAATGAGGAAAAATAGTTAATTGTTAACTTACAATTAGGAGTACTTCTGAGT